GGCCCCACAGAGGCCTGACTCACTTGGTGCCTAGTCAAGGTGGCTTTGTGTGCTTGGCCTCTGTGGATTTCGACATTTTATCAACTGTTCTTCTTCTAATTTGAAGATTGTGAATTTCTCCTTTCAATGAGCCTTCAATAAATATCGCTATTTATACATGACTGTTTATGTGATATGTGTGTGTGTGTGTGTGTGTGTGTGTGTGTGTATATATATATATATATATTTTTTTTTTTTACAGTGGACATGCATTTTCCCTGGGGCAGAACTGCCTTTGGACTGTCTCCACATGAAGATGTGAGCCCAGAGATCTCAGTACAGAACCCTGAGCCCCGGGCACACCCTGCTCCACCCCAGAGGGACGGCACCCCACCCTCTGATCCCAGTGAGCCGCCTCCCAGAAGTTCTAGGAAGAGATGTGGAACCAAGTGGGAAAAGGACAAGTTCAGGTCCTGGTGGGTGGGGCACAGCAATGAATAAGACGTGAGTGTGTGTATGCTACACACAACTATGTGTTTGTCAGGACAAGTGAACAAAGCAGAGTGGGCAGCTGGGGAAGACAGAAGTCGTGGATGCACAGGAGTGTGAGATTCAGGCCGGGTCCAGGGCGAGCCCATGCATGCGGGCGCTGTGAGAAACGTTCTGGAGCAACAGGGAGGAGGCTCCCTTGGGCGCTCATTTCAGACTAAGGAGAAAGGAGGGCGGGGAGAGTCCTGTGCCCCCAGGAATGGCCACAGCCCAGGGTGAGAGCAAGAGGAGCAGAAGAGGTGGAGGCCGGAGGTCTGCAGGGTGGGGCCGGGTCTGGAGCTCGCCCTGCTGGGAAGGCTGAGAAGGGCTGGATGGGAGGCTCTGCCTCTCCAGATGCCTCTGCTGCAGGGTGGGGACAGTGGTAATGGAGGGAGAGGAGGGGCCACCCAGGTGGGCAAGTGCAGGGAGACTGTGGGGCTGCTGGTGCCCTCTGCTGCGTGCCCCACCATGGGGTGGCCTCTCTCCAGCGCAGGGGCATGCAGGACGCACCTAGGACACCCACGTGGAACAACCCTGCATAGCCAGGTGCAGATGGGAAGGGAGGCCGGAATCTGAGTCCATAGTACTCAGAAGGGAGGCCAGAAAGGCCCCTTTCCACAGTACGGGGCCGGCTGGCTTCCTTCTCTCCCTGTTCGAGGGAACTCAGGGTTCCTTTTCTCTCTCCTCTCCTCTTAGTGTTTGCAAATCCCTGACTCTGAAGTCAGGATCAAAGTCAGACTATCTCTGGCTGAACCTGTTTGCTGAGCAGTGGGACACCAAGACCACAAGCTCCCGAGGGAGCCAGAGACAACGTGGGATGCAAAATGGGACCTATCCTTGGCACAGTGGAATTTAACTACAGAGAATGTTTCCCACTAGTGGATTTCATTTGTTCTTTCTTGTTCCAAACTGAAGAAACTAAAACTATGGAAGCAAAAATTATACTTATAGAGGGATAAATACAGCACAAGCCCAGTGGATGGAAAAATCTTTCCTAATGGCACAGTTCCGAAAATGGATTGTCCAGCCCATCACCCTAGCAAGGCAGCACTCACATTCTGGGCCCGAGCCTGTCCTCAGCTGCAGAGAAGACTTGAGTCTTCACCTTTGCAGCAGGGATCCAAAAACAGGAGCTTGCATTTCTAAATGTGCCCTTCCACACCCTTATGTCCAAGCCAAAGGCAAAGCGAGAGGCGATAAAAGCCCTGAGTGTCCTTACGGCAGACGCACTTGGCGAATCGCCTTACGGTAACGGAGCCGTCTGTGTGGAAACTTGGAAATATTATTATCACACTTCAGGTATTTATTTCAATGTAGAAAATATTGACTTCCAAGAGCAACAAAGGGCAGGGGAATAAACTGTTGCTAGCAGAATGGAGGGGAACTCTGAGGGCATTTATGTTTGCAATGTTCTGCAGTTACTTTTCCCAAGGGCCTTCAAGACAGTGCATTGCACGGCTCTGTTTCTCTGCATTCTAAATGCAGCAGTGCATCAGCGGCTCCAGGTCAACCTCCCCACCCTGCATGGGGTGAGCATTTAGGGCCGCTGTGTCCCCAGATCCTGCTGTCCATCACAGGGAGTTTCAGCAATTGGCCAATAGCCTGTTCAGGCACTGTCCTTAATGTCACACAGGGAGCAGAGGCTGAACAGCAAAGTAACAGCCAAGGCTCTGGCTCCTCCCCCAAGGCTGGTCACATCCCTACCCTGGGTCGGCACCAAGGTGGTGGTAACCTGGCCTCACCCTGTCCCAGAGAAGCATGGAGGAGGAGGGGGAGCAGGAAGAGGAGGAGCTGGAAGAGGAGATGGGGGAGAAGATGGAGGAGAAGGAGAAGATGGAGGAGGAGGAGCAGGAGGAAGAGGAGATGGAGCAGGAGGAGAAGATGGAGGAGGAGGAGCAGGAGGAGGAGGATGACGAAGAGCAGGAGTAGAAGGAAATGGAAGAGGAGATGGAGGAGAAGATGGAGGAGAAGAAGATGGAGGAGGAGGAGCAGAAGGAGAAGCACCTCCCGCCTCACCTCAGGGCTCACCACAACCCAGCCCAAGCACGGACCATGCTTGGGTTCTGTGACCTCTGTTACTGGGTCCCCTCAGCCAGGGGTCCCTCAAACAGCACTGGAGAACAGAGCCTGTAACAGCACAGACTCATGGTCGCAACGGGAGGTAACTGCATGGCCATGCCGCCTGTGGTCACTCTTGAAGAGTCCCACGAAGCAAGTCAGTGAGCAACGTGGGGCTCATTCCCAAGGGGAAACACGCCGGGGAGAAGCAGGTTGCGAGGTGGCCACACAGCAGCACGGCCTTCATCCCAGCCTCCAGGCCCTTCCCGGGAGGGTGTATCACCGGGATGCGGGAGGCCGTGTGCTTGGGTCTCCTGCGGGTGTAGGCCGAGGTCTCCTTGCTCGCAGGAGCTGTAGGCAGCTGGAGACCAGAACTTATCAGGTGTGTGTGGAAGAATAAGGGGCCTCTGCACAAACAAGGTCAGCAGCAGCCACGCGATCGGGGTCCCCACATGTGTAAAGCATGGGAATGGTTTTCTCTCTCACCATCCTGGGAAGACAGCAGGGACCCAGAGGAGCTGGCAGGGAAATCATGCTACCCCAGGGGCTCACACCTGCCGCACGGGGCCCTTCACCACCTTCTGCTTCTGCATGGAATGCTCCCAATGCCCTCCTCACAGCGCTCCCTGCACATGTGCACCCTAGGAGGGTTCAAGTGGTACCCGGCCTTATGTGCATGACAATCTCGCCAAGGTGATGTCTATTTTCATTCGCTAACGGGGAGACTCAGCCCAAATAAGGAAGATATGATCAAAGGTTCTGGGTGTCTCACTCTGTGTTCAGATCTTACACCCTTTCTCCTAGGGAGCACTTAAGTTTGTGTCCTCAGTCACACCCTCCACAGAAGCAACGCATTTCTACCCATCAGGTGGCTGATATTAGAAGGCTCAGTGTGTAAATCCAGTGTCACACAAAGCAGCTTAGCACACTGGGGACAACAGAGAAAGAACTCTGCCTCACACAGAATGAATGGTTTCTGAATTACTGTACTGGTGATCATGAACCAGCGTGCGCCCAGACGAGGCCAGAATAAGACCTGCCTGATGTCTTTCCAGCAGGTCCCATTGATCTGCTGTAACGTCTCACATGGATTTGAGATAAGGGCGTCTGTTTCGACCCCGACCTCTAGGTCACGGTGACCATACTACATGACTTCCATATTAGTGAGCTGGAACTTCCACTGCACAGAACATCCCAAGCACACACCGACGGTGACGAAATAATAAACTATGTCCCGAGGAAGAACCCTTTCCTGCTTCCCTGCCGTACAGTAATTTCTCTCCTCTTGGAGTCCATTTTCATTTGCAGTGCGGTGGCCATGACTCTCATGCAGAAACAGCGGCTAAGACCTTGGTTTGGGGTATAGGAGGGACCTCGAGACAGATCTGTGGTTGGGCTTTGGAGGCCGCAGGTTGGGCCACTTGTCTGTCTCTGCCCAAGGGCCACAGGCAGGGCCCTGGACACCACTGGGTACCACGCTCAATCAGAAGAGGCACTAAAGTGGGGCTGCAGAGAGAGAGCAGGGCCAGGCAGCACTGCTCGGTTTACTGCCTTGGGTTCCTCACGGGGAGACTGGGCCGGGCTGCTCTGGGGGCCAGGTACTGTCTTGTACCTTGCTTTTCTGAGGGCTGCTGGTGGGGGCTGGGGGATCAAAAATATGCAGAGCCACCCTGCCAGTATACAGGAACCAACAGGCAGGGTCGTGGGCAGGGGCTGCAGCAGGGGAGAAGGTGGCCCCGTAGGGCAGCAGTTGGAGAAGGGGCAGGCTTGAGAGAAGGACCACAGAGGAAGACAGCTGGGCCTCGGAATAGAACCTGCAGCACCAGGAGGTGGACAGCACCCCCAGTGAGGCTGTGAGGAGCCACACGAGTCAGGAAGGGGACGGCTCGGCTCCACGCAGAACTGGAATAGTACAGAGAAGGCCTGGAGGGCAGCTGTCCAGGGTCAAGGAGGAAGTTGCCACTGAGCTGAGGGAAAGAGGAGGCCCAGAAGCAAGGTCACCTGGCAGAGGGACACTGAGGAGCTCTCCACAGCTAAGCAACGCTACAGATGGCCAGAAGACGCTGCAGAAGGAGGGGAGGGGCACGGAGGCTGATCTCCGGCCCAGCGCTCTCCGGGGAAGGACGCGGCAGGGCTATGTCATTCAGGTAGCGGATGAGGGAGGAGATTTCCACAGGAACAGCACAGGCACCAGTCTGTGTGTGGTGGGGTGTGCCAGTCAGGGCACGGTGCCAAGGCCAGGAGGCGCTGGCCACGGGGCAGAGCACAGAGGACAGGGAGCGTCCTCCTGTCCTACCTCCTAAGGCCTCAGGGCCGTGCATGTGTCTGGCCTCGGGCGGCTGGAGGGAGGGAAGAGAGCCATCTGGCTGCCGGCCCCTCCCCTGCTCCTCCCCCTTCTGCCTGCCCCCACACCTTGATGAAGGAAACGGACTTACAGACAGAGTTCTTGTGGCTGCTGTCCTTGCTGGGAAGCATCTTGACTCCTCTTGACTTCAGCTCAATGGCCTTTTTCACTGGAAGAAAGAAAGCAAGGTGTCAGCGGGAGCCTGAGGTCGGATACCAGGCCTCTGCCGCCTGCAACCCAGCCCCAAGTTGCCCTGCAACCTGACTGCAGAGCACAGATGGGTTCTGCCGGGTCAAGGAGGAAACAGCAGCTCGGTAAGCAGCCAGGGCAGGCAGCAGGCAGCACGATCAGGGCCACCACAGCACTGGGAGTCGGCACCGTGCATGGACCGGGCACCATTGGGAATGGCACGCTGCCTGGCCACCGTCTGCTCCTGGCCCATGTGGGCACAGTGAGGAGTTCCTCAGTTTCCTGCACAGGCCCTGTTGCAGCAGACATAGATAAACCATGGGTCACCCCCAGGTTCTCTACTGCCCCTCTCTGGGGCCAGGCAGGACACACTCCACCCTGGCTTCTGAGCCAGAGCTCAGAGCGGAAGCACCTTGCTTCTCCAGGTCGTGCATCAGACACAGACAGAGGGTAAAAAGAGGGGAGAAAAAAGGGTCGGCTTTGAAAAAAAGGAAAACAAGGGGAGCAGTGTCCCTGTGCGGCCAGTGGTGGGCTGCACCCCTCCTCTCCGCTCCCTTTTCCAGCTCCGTGGAGCTCCGTGCCTTCCCCCTGAGCTGAGCATGCTCCTCTCTGGGTCTGGGGTGGGGCGAAGCCATGTGACTGGGTCCGTCTCCCCCTGGGGTCGCCCCTACTCTGTGATTCAGATGGGGCCATGGGCCACTCAGCTGCAGTTCTGGCCACTCCCACGGACCCTGACGACTGGGCTGCCCCCTCCTCCATCTGTGCAGGGATCCCCACACTCCACTCCAGGAGAGACCCCACCTGGGCCCTGCCACGTGGCGGAGATCATGAGGGTCCCAGGTTAGGGTCGTGACCGCCCTGCGTGTATGACATCTGACTGTCATCAGAGTTTCAGGGGAAGGTCAGCCGTGGGCGTTTTGAGGCACATCATCGGAAGTGATAAGGAAAAGGTGACAACCACGCTCCCCCACCCACCGTCTGATTTTACATGTGACGTGAGAAGCAGCCCCGAGATCCATGTGAAGGCTCCTGCCCGTGTCTGAGGTCCCACGGGAGAAAAGCTCCCGGAGGACAGAGTCATGGGACAGGGCTTCGCAAGCAGTGGCTGTGCCCAAGAAGGTTTGGTGACTTAGAGGAAGGCCGGGGTGACCCTGCGCAGGGCACCCGACATGCCTGGAGTGTGGGCTGGGTGCGTCTGAAGGAGGCACATGCACCCACACGCACCCTGTGGGACAGCACGTGCAGTGTCCTCAGGTGATCCTCAGAGCACGGGACTCAGGCAGGACCCTGAGGTCAGTCCCGAGACCCACGGCTTTGCCAGTCTCCCCTGGGGCCAACCTGTCCCCTCTGGCTCCCTGTCCTGTACCCCCAGTCAGCGAGGACCTGCATCAAAGGTTCCTTGCTGACTGGTGCTCTTCCCGCCAGACACCCACGCAGTGGCCACCTGCAGAAGAAGCCACAGGGCACCATGACATTTGCTTGTGGTCATTTTCATCCTGTTGATCAGCAGCACAGAGAAGGGAACAGGAGAGCGAGATCTGTACCCTTGTATTAGTCCTGTTGGTGGTGCTCAGGGGCATCCCCTGGCAATGGCCCCAGAATGATGCTTTCATTTGGACGGGGAATGGCTGGATGTGTGGCCCCCATGATCCCTGCTTCCCTGTACTGAAATAACTTTATCTTGGAAATACTCAGGATAGGCCAAGGGCATGCACAAAAAACAAGAACGTGAGAATCAATGGAGATAACAGAACATAAAACTCCAGGCAAATGTCACTCAACATAAACAAGTAAAACAAACACTGAAAAGGGAAGGCTGAGGAGCCCCCGGATGCCAGGGAGGTACGGGACACCCTGCGCCCGACAGTTTGACGAACTAATAAATTCCAAGAGTTTGCAAATAAGTATTTGTGAAGCTAAAATTTCACCAGGGAGATTTTAATTTACTTATTTTTCAATGAGACAGTCTTCTTCCTCTACGGACTATGGATTCACCGACTCCTGGCCTGTTTCACGTCCTCACACCCTCTGCTTGGGCACGGCTGCCCCTTGGATGGCCGCACACCTCCTTGTCTGCCTTAGGGCCTCTCGTGTTCTGCCCAGAATCTTCCTCCTGCTTGTCTTCTTGCCTCCACCTCTTCCTCTTCCTTACCGTCCTCTTCCGCACTGTCTCCTTCGCCCACCTTCCTTCTCTCCTGCCTGCCCTGTCCTTCCCTCTCCCGCTCTGTCCAGGGCTGTCCAGAGGACAGTCTCCTCAGAGAGCACCGGGAGGGCAGCGAGGGGGCCGCAGCACACGGTGCCTCACAAGCCCCACTAAGCCTGCTCTTTCTGTCATGAGCTCCCCATCGGTGGCCTTCAGTCCTGCAGCGAATGGTGTAAGTCCTCTCTACTGTTAATGACGCTAATTCTGGGCTTGACCTCGCATGTTCCAGGTCAGAACCTCCAGGCTTGATTTATTTCAGCAGAACTAATGATCTTTTCTTTGTTTAGTGTTGGAGTTGCTTCATTTTCTCCTCATCAGCTTAGGTCCGCTCTCCCTCTCTCTCCCTCTCCCTCTCCCTCCCTCCCACCCCTCTCTTTCTTTCCGTCTTAGGTCCTGCACTCTGCCTCCGCTTTCCGTCTCTCATTGGTGTATATCTGCAGTACAGACCTGTGACAGGTTTGGAATTGTGCATCCGTCTATCTACATCCACCTTCACTGACCCTATCCGTCTCCTTCCCCCACCCCACTGCTCCCCCTTTCCTCTGGCTCTTCCGCATCTCCACAGTCCCCTTGGCTATGTTTTCGGGCGTGAAGAGCAATGTCGCTGGTGGGAAGTTGGATTCTGAGACGTCCTGTCCCTTCATGACTAAAGTAAGTCACAGGACTCAAACTCAACTTCAGTGGTTGGCATGGTAGGAGATGTTGAAGTGTGTAGGTCAGAGGACACAGGACTTTGGTTAGAAATACCGACTTCGAGAGATCCACCGAGGGAGGGGAGGATGAGAGTTCCTGGATGAAAGCCGAAAGCAGCCAGAGAGTTAGATTCATGCTTTCTTATCACAAATATGCAAGGGAAAAGCAAAGCAAGACAAAGCAAACAGAAAGCACCTTCAAATAGACACGCGCAGTCCCCTTTCCTGTAACACCACTGAGGATGAGGAGAATTTCTGGGGAGATATTTTGCTTTAAGGGTAGAAAATGCTGAAAAGTATAGCAGTAATGAGACATAAAGAATACTTTTCTTGCATTTATCGTTTTTCCTTTCCTTAATAGGTCAGCTACTTCTGCTTGATCTCACAGGGATTAGCTTAGACAGACTTCCTTTAGACACTTTGCAACTGTAGCAAACTGCAACTGCACAGGACTAGCAAAGGAGCTCCCCTGCTGTCCTCAGTGTGCGGTGATCGCAGCTGCTCCCCTCCTCAATGGGCTTCTTCCCGAAGGAGGAGAGGTCCTGCCCTCTCCACAGCCTGTGCACGCAGCCTGAGTGCCTTGTGGGGCGGCTCCTGGAGACCCAGACCAGGAAGAACCCGCTCTGCCCTGCACACTGGCCTACACTGTGCGTGGAGCCACAGGGCCTCTGTCTCTGAGCTGCCTGTCCTGCGGCAGGAAGCTCCAGACACTGCCGGTGACAGGTAAAAGGCAACCCTCCTCACGTGTTTAGTCCACCGAATGGGACAGCAGTAGTACTGAGAAGCCTCACAAACAAAAGAGGAAGCTGCCTCCATCACTATTTAAAGTAAAATTCAGGATTTAAAATTAATGGGTTAAAAGTATCATCCTGTTTATTGGGCTTATTGACCATGAGGATTGTCATAATTTTATGAAGTCTTCGGTAGCTAAAAATTCTATTCAAGTGACAATAATAATGAAATCCTTGGAAATATGCAGAAATATAAAGATGATACATATATGTATGAGAGCATGTGCGTATTTCAATACATACCATAACATATATAAAATACAGGTATGCAACATAGATAGTGCTGTCTCGCTTATTGTTAAAAGATCTTGTTCTGTAGAAGTTCTTCTTTTTTTTCTTTGAGGCAGGGTCTCACTTGGTAGTTGTGACTGGCCCTGAATTCACTATGCAGCCCAGGAAGCCCTCAAATTCTTGGTGAAACTCCTGCCTCAGCCTCCTGAGCGCCTGTGCCACCACACCTGGCAAAAGCTCTTATTTTCTAATAAGATATGTCTTGCAATTATTTTACCAAAAGTGGCTATAAAATCTGATAAGCAATTACATTTTATAGTCTACCAACCTTTCATATGTGTATTGTCTTTTTACATATCACAGAAAATGCAATTTATTTAAAACTCCATTATGTATATTAACTTATTCTTGAGTTAAGATAAATGGCATTTTCAGATATTGGTTACAGGCATTTTTGGCAGGATTTGTTTTCTTTATTCTCAGAAAATAGAAACTAAATTTCTTTTGGAACATTTCAGGGAGTCTTTGAATATTTTTCCTTTAGGGGAAAAATAAATGTGAAAATAATACACCTTAAGAAATTGCAGTTGTTTGCATCCCTTCGTTTGCTGCATAGCTCGTGTATTTTCCTAGGGCGTTTACACCCCAGCCGTACGAACGCTTTTACACATTAGTGGTGAGGATGGCTTCTGAAGCCCCCAGTTGCTTCTCTGGCAGATGCAATGGCGTGATTCCCCCAGTCCTTTAATATTTCTTGCACATGCTGTGGTCTGTAGGGAGGAAGTTGCACACGTTCGGATCACTGTTTTTTACACACTGACGTAATGTGTAAGAAAGCTGCTGCGCAAGGACTTTTCTTCTGGACGACAGAAGACACAAGCCGCCCCCCGGCCCCTGGCCTGGACACAGTCTTCTCTTTTCTGCTTGATCAGCCCAGTTATTCTGTACAAACAGGGGTCCATTCCCTGCCTCTCTCAGGAAAGGTAGAACAGAGAAGGAACAACAGTCACAAATCAAGCTTGCAAGGGGACAGGCAGAAGCCTTTCCTGTGCTCTCCCCGGCT